AAAAAAAAAAAAAAAAAAAAAAAAAAAAAGTGTGCTCAAAATAAGGGAAAAGAACAAAAGTGAAGTATGCTGGAAATTTATGAGTCAAGATTATGTCTAAAAGGCATAGATAGGGAGTTTATACTACTTTTTTAGTTTTTAAGGAACCCCTCCTTATAATGTGTAAGTCTGGAGTTATATTTACCACACTCAATTTCTATATATTTTCGGGAACACATTATGTTCAAAATGCTATCTCATCTCAGAAAATTTGAGGCAGCCTACAGAAAAATACAAATAGATAAATCTAGACAAAAGCAAACATAAATCAGAAGGCCAAAAACATAAAAACATCTCTGTATTTTATTATGTGTAAATAATATCTAAAACATACCTCCATTTAAAAAAGTAAAAACAAAGCAAAGAAACAAGAAGCCAGGGGGAGGTGAGAACAAGAAACACAAATGACAGGTTCTACAATTAGAAAGTTGAATTGAGCTTCCTGCCAGCCAAAGCTAAAAGGGAAACATGACCACTGCATGATTCTTGTTACAGAGGCTTTAGATCTGAGCACTTAGATCTGAAAACAATTTCTCTTTAGGTGTCTTCAATGAGGGACAGTATCCTTGAGGACAATACTGCAGTATGTACATTAATACATTTCCTAAGACCATCTCTATGTATCTCAATGCTAGCTGGACTGAACATTTCTGCAGCAGGAGTGGGGTAGGCAGACAATGTAGGTCAAATGAGCAGCTTGGAGGCTCAAATGAGATGAGGAGAAAGAGCTCAGGAAAGCATGAAGCACAGTGTGAGTACGAGGTCAACTGTCTAACCCTAAGCTCTGGGTGCATGAGAACTGGAGAGGTCTTGATGCTGAGACTTAGGCAAGGGGTGTGGAAGTGACTTCCCGTGTGACTAATCCAGCTAAAGTGGCTCTGGCATCAGCCCTATCACAATCCAACTCATAAACGAATGGCTTGCTTACAGGGGTACTCTCTGCAAAGTAACAGCCAAGAACATTCCTGGGCACATCCATTGAGCTCCATGTAGCAGAGGCTACTAACTGGGTCCCCACATCCATTTTCTCCTTCATCTTTTAGTCACAGAACCCCCAGCGTTTTAACTGGGCACATGACCACCCAAATAAGAGGCTCTATGTCCCAGAGTTCCTTTCAGCAAGATGTGGCCAGAGTGATTTAAGCAACTTCAGGTCACATCCTTTAAAAAAGAAACTGCTTTCTCTCTCTTTCCCCAGTGGAATGTGGACATGGAGCCAACGTCTACTTTGATTCACCCAAGGACAACACCCTAGGGGCGGCTGAACAAGACAGAAGGAAACCAAGTTCCTGATGACCCTGTGGAGTTCAATCTGCCCTAGACCATTTGATTACCTCTGTACTATTAGAAAAGAGAAAAATAAACTTCTAAGAGCCACTGTACTTTAGGATCTCCTTGTTATAGCACCTTAGCCTGTGCCTTAATATAATTCACAACAGAATGGAAAGATGTCCAGAGGAAGACTTCAAAGGACTCAGGCAACACCCTAGAAAAGTGAACTCACAATTCATTTCAGCAAACAGGTCAGAAAATGATAACCATCAAGTAAGCTGTGCCTCTTACTCCTTTTCCAGGAGGGGCCCAGCCACATCCTTTGAGCAGAGGGAGAGGCCTTTATTACAGCCCAACCCAAACACAACCTGCAGCCTGTCCACTGTGGGCCTGGACCAAATCCCCAGTAGTTAGCAATACAGACTGCCTTCCCCACCCTCACTAGGCAGGGACACCCCCATCCTATCTTTTCCCCTAAAGCAGCAAAGCTCCAAACTTCTCCACTCTTCGTAATTACTGTTCTTGAGGACAGGCCAAGTCCAGCTGAAACACCTGCCGGGGGGCTGTGTGTGAGGGTCAGGGGAGGGGAGTCCAGAGCCCCAGAACAACAGCCACAGCTGGGAACTAGAGAGGGAGGAAAACCTTCCCGTTTGCCCTGGGTTTCTGGGGTCCAGAGGCCTGAGGGCGCAGCACCTGCTCCTCCTGTGGAGTCCCCCTGGCGACAGCTCAGCCGGGCAGCTGCCAGTCACTAACGAATCCCCGCCACCGGCACCTGCTGCTGCTTGCGAATCTTGTTGAAGAGTTCCATGTACTGGACCATGGTGTCTGCTGGGCTGTAGACAGCGTCGTGCCTGTTCCCATACACAGTGGGAGCCCCTGGGGTGTGGCTGCCTAGAAAGCTCTGCAGGAACTCGAGCAGCAGGCTCCAGCAGTCGCTAGCTACCACACAGGGGCCATACTCCACCTGGGGACCAGAAGAACAGAGACGGAGGGTAAGCAAGGGCCAGGACAGGTCATCTGCTTCTCGTGCGCCTCTTGCCCCCCGTGCCCCTCTTCCCCAACCCTGAGGCAAAGACACACACCTTCTAGCACAGGGCTGCCCTTCAGGAAATATCCAACCCAAACACCAGGGATTCGACACACCCAGCATAGTTCCCTTTAGGCTCAGATAGTCTCATCTTGGGGTTATCAACCCACAGTCCTACGCACAAGACCCAGAAGCAGATTTAGGACCCTTTGAATTATCTCAGAACTATATAGTCCAAGCTATGCTGGATGCAGGTTCATGGAGAGCTCAGGAAAATTCTGAGAGAGAAAATGAAGAGCAGGAGACAGAGTGAGTGTGTGTGAGCATGAGCGTGAGCGTGTGCGTGTGTGTGCGCGCGCGCACGTGTTGGGGGGATCAGTACAGGGTAAAGTAGACACATGCGCTCATAAGTCACTTCAAGACCAAACGTTACTCCCTAAGTAGATAAAACCTGGGCTCTGACCCTAAGAAATAATTTCCCAACCCATGTGACAGGGGCCAAAGGACACATATCTTAGGCTTTCTCATTTTCCTCTCCTAATTTTTCACTGGAGAGATGGCCGGGGAAATTACTGGTAACCATAAGGAGAAACAAGTAAAGAAACAGCCAGGCTGTGTTTGTACTCAAAAGTTGGAAACGTGAAGGATAAACAGACTGGGTTTCCAGTGGGTCTCGGCAAATGCAAGGTGTATCACAAATGAAAAGGGTCCGGAAATCTTGGCTCTAGAGGTCCCTGGAATGTCATAGCAGTAATGACCACTAACGCCCTTTTCCTCACTTGGGGTGCTTCTTAGGGCTGACCTATCCCCAGTTTCTATATTTTAAGTCCCTCCTTAAATGCTACTCCTGCAGGAGGCATCACAATCCCCAAAGTCAGCAGTGCTCTCTTTGGCCTGAACTCCCAGAGTAATTTGTGCCTCTTTTATGGCATTTCTTACAGACTAACTTCAAAAACAGTTTGTGTGTTTGGGCCTTGCTCTCTTACTAAATCATCAATTTTCAAAAGGCAGGCCCTGTAGCTTACTTATTATTTTTGGGGGGACTGTGGTAGATTGCAGACTCTCATTGGTACCAAAGCCAGCTACTGACACACTCCGCCTTTGTCATTTTCAGTGTATACGTCAAAGATGAAGTCATCACACACACCATGAGAGTAGACAGGCTGTCAAAGGGAAAGGCACATCTTTGCTTCACAACTTTTTTGGCCGTGGCAGCTTGTGGGATCTTAGTTCCCTGACCAGGGATTGAACCCAGGCCCCAGCAGTAAAAGCACCGAGTCTTAACCACTCGACCACCAGGGAATTCCCATGCTGCACAATTTTTCCACCTCCCAAAAGTTAACTGCACTGAAAGTTGCCCTGGTCTGCTCTAGTCCTTGTGATGGGTGACTGGTCCCTCCACATCAGAATTCACCTGCTCCCACCGCCCCCTCCAACCATCCCTCCCCTTCTCCAGCAAGTCAGCCTTCCTAAGCTCTCTACCGGCTCTGAACCCAGCTTCCCATTCCTATCTTGGGCTAGAGAGTCCCTGAGTGATTAAAGAAAGGGTAAAAGACGCAGGGAGAGGAAGCGTGGTGGCTCTGTGGACAGGAATCAGGTAGGTAGAAACATCTGTTTGCATTCAGGGGCCGTGGAAATCTGCAGAGCCAGCCCCTTCAGCACATATGCTCCTGTTTCACCGAGGTCTTACCTCCACAGAGATGCCTCGGGCGCTGGGCCCCATTGTAACCGTGCCCACCTTCACTAGGAAGTCACAGTACTGGTAGCGGGTGCCCCGGGTCTCAATCTTGCTGGCCTTGGCACTCTGGAAAAAGCCCTTGAGCTTCACCATGAGCACATCAAAGTTGGTGTCGGCAACAAGGCAAGGGCCATTCTCAAAGAGGGCAAAGCAGCTCAAAGGGTACTCGGAATTGTGCATCACATACATCAGCTTCCCGGCCTGACCTGCAAGGGATGGAGATGCTACTCAGTATCAAGACCTTCGTCAGCAAACAGTGGAGTAGAGTCCAATGCGCTGAACGAAGCCAGGTGGCAATCGAGCATCACCTCAAGGGCCCTGGAGGGCGGTGGAGGGAAGCCCCTCGCCAACAGCCTTTTCCAGAGAGGAAGGGAGAGGAAAAGGTGGCATGTGGTATAACCCATCCGCTGTACAGAAAAAGGTATGGGGCACATGGGGAACTTCGACAGTGGATATGGTTTAATTCTTAAGTTGAGTGATGGGCTCACAGATGGATGATTAAGGATGATAACTAATAACTCAGAGAGGATTTACATATGGTCTTTTGTATAGAAAGGTATCACATATTAAGGAAAATAAAAGTAACAGCATTTGAGCACACCAAACGAAGCAGCTGCTCTCTTTTCTGTCCATCCCTACCTTTCTTGGCCTCCTCCCTCTTTGAAACATAGGAAGTGGCCCCACAGAAGAGTATCTGAGCACAAGGCTGGAAAGGGAGGCCAGAGCCTTCTCTTCCATGCCCAAGTTCATTAAAAAAAATTTTTTTTAAGATTTTAAAAAATATATTTATTTATTTGTTTTTATTTATTTATTTATTTAGGCTGTGCTGGGTCTTGGTTGAGGCACACGGGATCCAGGATGCGGACTTCTTAGTTGTGGCATGTGGGATCTAGTTCCCCAACCAGGGATCCAACCCACAGCCCCTGCATTGGAAGGCAAAGTCTCAACCACTGGACTGCCAGGGAAGTCCCCATGCCCAAGTTCAGACTTCATCCTGAAGGCAACGGGGAGCCTTTGGAGAATTTTAAGACATCTAGCCGACTTGGGAAGCAAGCAGCACAACTACAGCACAAAGAACTCAGGATCTAGAATCACAAGATCCAGTTTCAAATTCCAGCACACCCATTCCAGTTTCTGAGAAATGAGTTTTCTCACTGATTACTATAGGTTTCCTGCAAGAAGGAAGGAAAGCTGTATAGATTTTTAGTTAAGTAGAAAATGGAAGAAGGCAAAAAATGGAAAGCAAGGTTTGTTCACTAGAAGAGTTAATGGACAGACTGCCACAACCCCAAATATTTATTAAGTACTTAAACTATCCCCAACACTGTGCCAGGGTTTAAGAGGCACACAAGCGGAGGGCTTGGCCTCTGGCCTCAAGGAGCTGACAATCTCACTAAAGATAGGTGGAAAACTCTTTAGAAGACAATAAAACAAAAGTGCTTGCCTGGGAGAGACCAGAAGTCTTGGGAAGGAAGGAAAGACTTCAGGGAAGGAAGTGATCAAAGTGGGCAAGAGTCAGCAGGA